CTAAACCCTAAACCCTATTGCCCCAAGCCCTAAACTATAAACCGTGAAGCCTATCTAAAGCTTACAGTCATTGAACGCACGTTTCATTTAGGGTTTAGGGTTTAGGTAGTTGCCCCGCAAACAGGGGGGGCACACCAATCTTGGCCCCCCAGTACTATAGTCCTGATTATGGGGACTCCCAAAGGGATACCTGATTCTGGGAAACCCTTGAATCCCTATAATCCTTTACATAATACCAGTTTCCATTTCATTTTCCATGTCCTTTTCCATTTGGCTCTCCAATTTTGGACCAAGGTCCATTTTGGGGCCAGTAGCGTAGAGGAGATGCTGAGCCCTCATCTTGCCCATGGTGTCTCAGAGACTTGCTTTAGTCTAGTGTTGGGTACAATGTTTTGGGGCTCCCCACAATGAGGATTACGCGAAGTTAGGGGTATCATTTTGGGGGTCCCCACAATGAAGATTATAGTGTACTGGGGTCTTCATCTGGCTCTCAGAGACTTGGTGGAATTTTGGGAGTTTGGAGGTGTGGGGTTTGGAGATTTAGGGTGCAGAGTATTATGGTTGAGGGTGTAGAGGTTGTAAGCGGATTAGGGTTTAGGACTCTTGGGTTTGGGTTTTTTTGCACTCTGCGATCTTGACTGCGTGACAGACACCCGAGAAAACAGATGCCTCACAGAACCCTGGAGCTCATACATGGGGGGCGTTTGCTGTGGTGGCTGCATTCGGGGATTTCTGACAATCACCCTTGCAAAGCCGTTCCATCTGCGCATGTCTGCGGGTTCTGGTACCATGTGTTTGAAAATCTGAAGCCTAAATCAATACATCATTGTATACCTACCCAGAGAAGAATCTAAGGGTAGCCCCAATCTTTTGAGAAGCCCTGTGCCCTACCTACTTACAGCACAATCCAGGTGAGTGCAAGCAACCTGGAGGTTCACAGGTATCTGGGGATATGTGGGGTAACCTCCACAAAACACCCTTCCAGGGACTTTCTTACCCAGTGTCCCGAACGCCCTGGAGCTCCCTCTACTCTCTCCGCCTTGTATTCTCAGACTCTGCCCCCAAAGCCCTAACCTAACCCTGGGACCCTAAACCCTCAAACGCTAAAGTGCAAACACGCAGCCACGCCTACCTGCAACACCGGACCCGTCCCTCATTCTTCGACACAGTATATACAGCTATCGCAAGAAAGAAGCCCTAAGCGTTGTAATCTCAAAAATCCTCGATCTTTAACTCCCCAGGAAAAAGATCTTCGGGAGCTCCATGTGCCGGTGGCCAGCTTCCAGAGCCCTGGATGCACATTTAGGGCTGCTGCAAGTAGTAAGGCTTAAAACGGTCAGCGGTCCATGCCTGTATAGTTTAGGGTTGAGGCTAAAGGGATTTCGAGTGGTAGAAGGGTCAGGAGTTACCTGTGCAAGGTGATTCAGCCTTATGTCAGCCCCATTGAAGTCGACGGTGCTGTGAGGGCTCACAAGGTTGAGGATGGCATATTGACTCCTTCTCGGTGATGGTACGACTCGCTTTGGTTTGGGCGCACGTCTTGGCGTGTGTAGGATTTTGCAATGTTCGGCCGGGTGTGCAGGGCTGGATGAGGTGGTTTCTCCAAACTCACGCAGGTGATAGTATGAGTGCGCAAGATTGGGTTATCATTAGCACGCCCATTTCATTGTAACTTCCCGTGAGGCTGCAAGCGTTGTTTCTGGTGGAGGGATAAGAGCTTCAACTTACAGACGTTAGATACAGGCTCGGGGCTTAGAGTAGCGTCCTCTTCCTGTCATTGTCTGGAATTGCTGCTGCTTTTGGAGATAGGATGGGGGTACCTTGTGGGGAACCCTTCTAGAGGCCTGCTGCAACTTACAGTTGCAAGTGACCGCGGTTGAATGTGGACTGTAAGGTATCAAAAGAAAGCTACTAGGGAAATTCCACAGTAACTTGTACAAAGGAGTGTGCGGGGATGATATCCTGAATTGCTCGAGCTTCTGCATTATGCAGGTTCTAGAATTCAGGATAAACAGATAGTCCTGCGGGCTGGAGGGTAGAACCCTGCCATGATCAACTTCACCAGGAACACCCTACGCGGTCATTCACCATCACCCATCGATATTCCCCTCTACCATTGGATGGGGATCGGATGCGGCAACATGAAAGCTAGGGCTCAAGCTTGAATTTCATTTTCATCAATTCTGCGTCCAGGAGTTTTCATTTTGGGTCCCTGTGGTCGTTTGCAGGATTTAGTTCTTGCATCTTGTTGGCCCTGTGGAAAGGTGAACCCAGGAAATCTTGTGTCAGTAGATGATCAGCTTGGGGGTTAGGCCGACAGGATTTATTTCGGTGTGCTGGGCAGCTTCCCACTGTGACAGTGCCGACGACAAAGACGACAAAGTCTGAGCCTCCCGCTGTGATAGTGGGGGGTGAGGGCTGGCGGGTTGCTGATGGATGGTTTTGAGGTGTCACGGTCTGGTCCGCTGATGGCGGGTTATGAGGCGTCACGGTCTGGTCCGCTGATGATGGGTTTTGAGGTGTCACGGTCTGGTTTGCTGATTGTGTGCTTTCAGATGTCATGGTCTGGACGGGCTTCGAGAGGTCTCACGTTCACGTCCGCTGATGAGGGGTTTTGAGGTGTCACGGTCTGGTCCTTTTGAGGTGTCACGGTCTGGTTCGCTGCTGGCGGGTTTTGAGGTGTCACGGTCTGGTCCGCTGATGGGTGGTTTTGAGGTGTCACGGTCTGGTCCGCTGAGTCCGCTGATAGGTGGTTTTGAGGTGTCACCGTCTGGTCCGCTGATGGCGGGTTTTGAGGTGTCACAGTCTGGTCCACTACTGGCGTGTTTTGAGGTGTCACAGTCTGGTCCACTACTGGCGGGTTTTGAGGTGTCACGGTTTTGTATGCTGATGACGGGTTTTGAGGTGTCACAGGCTGGTCCGCTGATGGGTGGTTTTCAGGTGTCACGGTCTGGTCCGCTGATGGGTGGTTTTGAGGTGCTTGGTCTGGCCGCTGATGATGGGTTTTGAGGTGTCACGGTCTGGTCCACTACTGGCGGGTTTCGAGGTGTCATTGGGTCTGGTCTGCTGATGGCGGGTTTCGAGCTGTCACAGATTGGTTGGCTGATAGCGGGCTTTGAGGTGTCACGGTCATGTCCTCTCTTGGTGGGTTTCGAGGCGTCACGGTCTGGTCGAGTGATGAGGTGTTGAGGTGTGAAGACGCTTTTGGTTTTTCAGCCAGGTGGTGCGGAGGTTGCTCATGAAGCCACTTTCGTCATACTTCACTGAAAGAGGTTGAGCTTCACCGTTGTAATCTGCATGATCTGCATGGGCCTGTAGGGGCCTGACTTTGTTCAAGAAACTCCCAGATAGGGGTAGGTGGTTCTGTTGAGCAGTGTCGTGCAGACTCTTCGCGCTCCATGCTATCTCAAGGCCTTGATGCTTTTGCTGGTGAGGGATGCCAAAACTGGAAAAATATGATGTAGGGTGCAAGGCGTAGTATAGAACATAGAAATAAGTAAACATGAAATGGAAACTGGGAGAACGTAGTGGTTAACCTTAAGCCCTACACCAGCAGAGTCTGCCCTATCATAGTCTTACATGCAAGGGTATTACATCAGATTTGCGTCATACGCTGCGCTGGGCGCAAAATGTTTGTTTCAGGGAAGGTCTCAATTTTGTGTCCATTTGGGGAGACATATGTGCCATATGCTGACCCACACACCCCAAAACCCCAAACACCCAAAACCAGGAACACGAGACTGGACGAAAGCCCAGGTGCGAGGATGCTGAGGACTCGTCCTCGGAGAAGCTGCTCTAGTGAGGCAGCAAGGGTACATGGGTCTTTGGAGAGAGGACTTGCTTCATCATGTTTTAGGAGCCTGGGTTTCGTGTAGATGGACTATATGGGTTGTCTTGCTGAGAGCCAGCGAAAATCCTGTCTGACACGCAGTATGTCCGCGCATTACTCTGAGATATTCTTATGTGTGGGAGACTGCGACAGTTATGGTCTCAGGTATATTATACCTCTATATCACCCTGTACAACCCATATATCCATTTCAACAGGGTTATACGGGGTGTTTTTTCAGAAGTTAGGGGCCCCAAAATCGGCCCCAATGTAATACAATCCTCATTAGAGGGACCCCAAAAAAAACCCTTAATTTCCTGCAAAGCCAATTCCTGGCGTCCCCTTTCTGGTGCCCCGAAAGGAATTCCCCGTAGCAACACAAAATATAGTATAGCGTATCCCTGAACTACCCGAAACCAGGGGCTGGGTGGGGGAATGAATTTCGGTAATATTTACGGGACCGACATAGAGGCCCTACTCTGGCATCCTTTCCCTGCTCCCCTCAGGCCTACGCCCTAAGCCCAAAAACTTGAACCCTAAAACCCAGAACCTGAAGCCTCAAACCATAAACCCGAAAAAACTAGATCTTAAACATAAAATCCTTGACATCTTGGCACCCCTGATCAGGTCCAGGCATGCGAACAAGTTTCAGGATGCCTTTTGCACGACATGGGTTGGAAAAAAGGCTCAACCTGAAGCAGGTCTATGGCATGTTGAGGTATCCCAAAATGCGGGGGAACCAGGCCTATGTAGGCAGGTACAGGGGTCGATGGGGGAACAGAGGGTTGAGGTCCCCATAAAAGGTTGCCCCTGCAATAAGGATTATAGTATTTTGGGGTGTATGTTGGGGTTTGCCTCTGTTAGGAAACCACCATGGACCATCTTTGCCGAAGCCTGGAAGTTCTCTTGGCCCGACGATTATTTTTGTGACGATTATTTTGGTAATTCTGTGCCTGAGATAGGAACACCATATATAGTTCCTCATGGCCTCAGAGGTAGACCCCCTAAATCTGCAACCGCGCTGGTTGTGGTGGTTTTTGTAAGTTCCATTTGCATGCTAGCGTGCTTGCGGCATCCAGGCAGGTGTCTGGATTGCGTGGAGTTACACGTTGGGCCATATACAAGTACCATGACTGGAGTTGTCGCGAAATTAAGGTTTTGCTGCCCCAATGTACTACTCTAGAGGATGAGGACGTTGGGTGCTAACTTACCTTGGGACCCATCACTGCAACTTTGATTCGAGAGGTGGGAAGCGTGCTTGGCTTTCTTTGGATGCTTCCAGTAGGAGTACTTCAGCCGGACAGCATGCAGGCGGTGATTCTTGGCCCTGCAGGGAATGGCTGATCCGCATGCTGAGACTTTCACATGTCATGTGCAAATAGCCTGGCAGTTGAAGCGGCCTGATGAGTGACATGTGCAGCACGTGCTGTAGATTTTGCACATCGATCACGGGTTGTACAATACAACCCTAGACCCCACTCGTATTCACGAATCTCAACCCAAAACCCGATATACTAGTTTATCAATGCCCTAAACCCTAAACCCTAAGCCCTAAACCCTAAACCCGTGCCATGCAGCGGCCGGTTGCAACGGCGCAGCCGGGGAGGTGCGGCCTGCAAACCCAGAGTTGGCATTTTGGGGTTTCCCACAACAGGGACGGTCTCTATTAGGGGGACACGCCCCTAAAAGGGTTGCTTCGGTGTTGAGGCTTTGGAAGGTTTTCGTTAAAAGCTGTAAGATTATCCTCGTCTTCCAGAAGACTGAGTGGGTTTGGGGCAGGGGAGAGATACGAGGCTCTAGGCAGGTGTGTTGCCAACGTGAGCCAGTAGCAAGGTGGCAGCCTTAGCCATACCAGGAGTTGGACTGGCAGTAACAACAAGAGTAGCAAAAGACAAGCATGAGCAGCGCTAGTTGTTGTATTTGAACATATGCCAAAAGCTTCCGTCAGCTGTCCCATCACCAGGCTTTTGTGACCATAATGTTCTAAGCGAGCAACTGATTTCTGGGTGGAAAGCCGACATTTGATAATAAGGTGCTCTTGCAAGGATATTTGGAAACGCACATCCGTCTCCCGTCCATGTATGCCGAGATACAAATACCATTGTTTGTGAAGTGCGTCCAAGGAGACTATGGAGACTGCTACCGAGCTTTGGTAAAGCACATCCTAGTTACCATGAACAGCGTCCAGGAAACCTTTCAGACGCTGAAGTTGCTGGCATAAGGTCCAGTGGTGCAAGGCTCAATGATTGACCATTTCACAAAATTCGTCAGGACAACACGGAAGCTTCAAGAAGAAGAAGAAGAAGTGCAGCAGCCAAATTGAACCATGCACCCAATGTCTTGCATAGCCATGAATCCCGTGTGAGGTTCAACATTTGCCTATTCCTCGAACCAAGTTTCAAACGCTGCCCGATTTGAGAGAGAAACTGACCTGACCTCTACAAGCCGTTTAATGCCTGTACTGTTCTCGAGGATGGGCTTAAGGTTGAAACGCTACTTGGGTCGTACTGGGTTGCAGCCACGTGGATTGATATCTCGCTAGTGTTTCAATTCGCAACTAACCACCGATCCCCAAGCAAGCTCTGCTGCGCAGCTTGCAAGTTCTGCTGGCGAGTTCGTACAGGCTTCTCGGGCTGGGGGCTGGCATTTGGGGCGTGGTTTCAGATTGTTATTGGATAGCTACTACCTTGAATGGGCACCGCATGTTTGTCTTGTGGCGGTTTCAGGGTGTTTGATTGACCTGCTGGTGTCGATGTGAAGTTTTTTGGCTTTAGAAGGACCGGGTGGATTTTGCAAAATCCTTGTGCAACATACATCATCCTCAGTCATCCCAGACTTCAATATCTCGACTTTGGTACTTCTGTAGGTTCGGGTGTTTGTGCCTGTAATTTTGGTGAAATTGCAACAGCCTGGAGCCCAAACTTCTAGCTTGCCTGATGGGTAGAGAAACACAAGAATAAAAATTAGCGGTACTGGCGCTTTCTCAAAAGTATGGCTTCTAAATGGACCGCTTCGAGAAGTTCCCATAGTCACTGGTGTATAGGCGAGCGGAGACCCTCCTGACTTGAAGATCCATGGAAAGTACGCGAGTTGACACTGTGAGAACCCCATGCTCTTTCAACGTGCCTCATAGAGTCCAATCACTAATTACTGGAAGGGCTAGGAGGAAGGTGGGGCTACTGACTCGGGCAAAAAGGGGGGTCCCCAATATGCACCGCAGAATACTATAATCTTTAGTATTGGGACCTCCCAAAATGAGCTCCTAATTTTGGGAAAGCCCCACATATTCTGTGACGTGACTGCAGCTACAGAAGGCCTAGAAAATGATTCATAGACCCAACCTTGGCCTGTTGGTTTGAAGATGATTATTTCTATTACCGTTATTTTAAATGCTACTGCTACTGCAGTTGCTACTAGTGTTCCTACTAGTACTACTACTATTACAATATTACCACTATCATTACTGTTATTGCTACTATTATCACAACTATTATTATGGGGTTATATAGGGATAATGGAACATGAAATGGAAACCATTATATTGGGGTTATATAGGGTTTATACGGGGCTTTTGTAGGGGTTAGTAGGGGTTATATAGAGATTATGGAAATTAAAATGGACTACCAGATTTCTTTGGAAGCTCCCAGCTGCTATCCTGACCCTCCAATGTCGTTTATGGTTTTTCTTCGTGGTTTGCTATTTTTTGAAATAGGACCATCCTCCACCCCAAAGAGGCATGACAGTCGGAGGTCCAAGTAGCTCCTAAATCCTCAGCTCCTAAATCCAAGAGAAAAACCGCAGCTGAGGCTATAGACGTGAGCAGAAGCACTTCGCTGATGCAGATGCCGTCTGTCAGAGAGAAGTCCACTGCAGGGCGGGTTCCGGGTTAATGGTGTTGTGAGCCCCATGAACATGGTTTGTGTAATCTATCAGTATAGTTTAGCCGTGGGCACTGCGCTGTATGGGTTTAGGCTTCGCGGGTTCAAACTCGGGATTTGTCTTTCACGGTTCTGTTGCAAGAAGGCCCTGTGGCTTAATCGGGATAAGCTGCGATTGATGGCGTAGGCTCTCAGTGAAAATGCAAAGGAGCCGAGAACTCCAGATTTCTCAAGGAACCTACCCGCCTCTCCTATGTCGTTCCCTTTTTTAGGTAGCCTAGATCCCACTACAAAAACGCATGACAACACAATAGGAACTACATTGGGGCCCTTGTGTGATTACCTCTCCCGAATAAGTTGTTTGTCATTGGCGAGGCCTTTTTGTGGAGTATCGGAGAAGTCTGTTGCCGAATGCGAGTTCGAAGTTTCACGGTCCAGAAATTGCATGTGGTGACATGTCGCAGTCATAGGGTCTTGATAGCCAATGATTATTACATGCATCGTGTTGTTTGAAGCAGCAAGAAAGACCACCTGCAGTAGACAACGGCAACTCCATTGCAAATCTACTGTAGCCCGTTGAAAGGGCTTCTTTATCACATCCACCCAAAGATGGGCGTGGAACCCTTGGAACCCCTCAACGCAATGAGACCTGGACACTTCCTGGCTTTGGTCATGGCCACTTTGATAGATCCCGGCTTTTTGCTTTCGGAAGCAATGTGAAAAATTGGTGTGCGGACCAGTGTGCGGAGATACTTTCAGTACAGTCGTCTGAAGTGGCACATTGACCTGAACAGCAGGAACGTGGAAAACCCATGCATATACGAGAGTGCAGTCTGTGAGCTCCCGTAGGACCTTAGGATACATGTTCTAGAGGCTCTAGACTGATGCAGGATGAACATCTCAACCTCCAAGCACTTGTTGTCACTCACGTGCCATTTGATAATTTGTGATCAAGTAGCAAGTAACGAAAGTCCAAAAAGCCCAACATCCCACACGCTGGACCGAGGTCCTGAGCCTTAAGCTTGACTTCCAAGCCGAAGCTCCTAAGCCCCCAGTTCTGAGAACCCATGCTTGCGAAACTCACTCTGAACGT